TGATAGTAATTTTTAATAAATTTATATATATGAAAAAAAATTATATGAAATTTTTCCAAAATTTTTTGCTCATCACTGTATATCATTCAACAAAATAAAAAGAAACTCTAAATTTATTAGCTATTTTAGTAATAGTTTATATCAAAAGTATTTGATAACTTTACAATTTAATTTTATAGTATTATATATTATTTATTAAGAATAAATTAATACAATTTAGTAAATATTTTGATAATTAATTAAAATAAAAAATATTATATATTATCTTATTAATATTTTTATCAGAGATTTGATTCAATTTTAGCAAAAATCTATACTGCATAAAATATACATAAAAGTATTATTACTATTACTTTTTATCAGAATTATATATTTAGAAATTTTATAATTAAGTAAAAAAATATGATAGTTTATATTAAAATAAGATAAATCATTATATTAAATAAAATTAATAATAAATTTGTAACAATTTTAATTAGTCATATTTCGAATTAACACATATTGTCATGCAGATGATCATCATGTACTTTGATCCGGAAGCTTACTGGCAGCAATTTCTTATTTGCGTTTTTTGAAATAGCGATCTAGTAATATTTATTATTATCGATATTATTATTGTAAATCGATCATAACTCTTTATCGACAATAATAATAACAATGATAATATTAATATTAATAATAACAAATTTTAGTCTTTTATTTATAAAAACTATCATAACACATCTTATACATTTATTTGTAAGAATCATTGACTATTTGCTTTTTTAAAATTTCAATCCATACCGATGACATCATAGTTGATCTCTCCCACAGAATCATTGGTATATATGAAAATCCTCTTCGTCAAAGACTTCACCAGGAGATGAAGGTTCTTCAGCTCCTTCTTCATCGAAGTCAGATTCCTCAACCGATTCGTATGGATCTATGTTCATTGGAACTGCAACATTATCGTCGTCTTCATTATTTTCATTGTCGCTACTTGCTGAGTTAGCTTTATCATCATCCTGACGCTCAGAATCGATTTCTTCTCTATCCTCAAGATCACTTTCTGAGCTA